GACCAAAGAGGTGAGACCACCTAACTGCTGGCCTCTTGGAACCTGGCAAAGGGGTCAGAGCCAGGAGGGCCCTGGCCTTGGCTCTCTAGTGACTGGTGTTGGGGTTGCAGTCTGTTCATGTTCTCCTTTGTTAGGGAGCCCTCCGCGGAAACCAGGATGAGAGAGCAGGGTCTGCTTCTGTTACTTGTTATGTTCTCTTCCTACAAAATAGGACCCAATTTAGTTGGATATAAATTTGAAGTTGGTGGGAGAGGAAGGAGGAAAGGGGAGGGGGAGATTGAGTGATTGAAAAATTTTTCTAGAGAATGAAGAGCTGAAATGTTGAGAGCAAATGGGAGAGAGAAGGCTGTCTCTCCTGATGGCTGGGTGGGCAGGACCATGTTACACAAGAGAAAGAGTTTGTCCACCTGGAGCTAGCACAGCCAAACACCGAGAATTGTTGTGGAGAAAGTAGCTATTTTACTGATGAATGGCATGGTACCATCCAGGAGAATGGGAAGCTAAGGCTCAAAAGCCTGAATTTCCTGATGCAGGTTTCTGGGAGGGTTTTTAGGGGGAGCAGGTATGTGGAAGTGCTGGTGAGGAAAGTTTTAATTGGAGGACCTTGGAAGTTGTCATTCACAATAAGGGGCATCAACGCAGGATCTTCCTGGACCATGATCCTCTGCTTTTGCAAGGGTTCTGGTATTCAAGTTTGGGTCGTGTCTTGGTTCTTTGGTTTTGTAGGGCAGGGAGGGCACAAGACTTTGGTTCCAGATGCAGCTGGATGTCAGAATTCTCTCCTCTGGGATTGCTTCAGCTGTATGACTAGTGGTTTTATTCCCTTGTCTCTGAAAAGCAACTCAGTATCTTGTAAAAAGGATAGAACCATTTTGAACTGGTTCTGAGGTTACAATAGGTTCATGCTGAAGTGTAGTTCAGAAAAGCCATTCAGTAGCCTCATGCATAGTAAATTGTGCTCTGCTCTCTGCTCCTCCCTTTCCCCCTGCCTGGGACAGACAGAAGGACTGAAGGGGACCACTTCTGTTTCTGGAAGTTCTGCATGAGCAGTGATTTCTTAGCTGAGTATTTGTTAGTTACTGTGCAGAACTGATTGTAATATAGCACTCAACTATAAAGGACCTGGAGTATTACATTCTGTGCTGTCACTTAGAAATGAACCCAATTGAGCTGATAGACATAATTTTTATAAAAATTTAAGTCTCTATTCTCCATTTCTGTATTTAGGGAAAGTTTTTTTTTTTATTTGTAAACACATTGTTCAAAGGTTTCCTCTTCAGTGACACCTTCCTACACTCACCCTGCAGAAGTAATTTTCTTTGTACATAATTTTATTATCTCATAAGTACTTGTGTTATACATATTATTATCTCACTACAGTATTGTATTGTAGTTCTGGGTCTGTATGTCACCTGCTGGGTTTGACTGCCTCAAGGTTAGGGATGGGTCTCAGCCACCTTTGTCTTCCCACACTGCCCAGGACAAGGTCTGATGTAACATATAGAGGACATATATAGTGGGTATTGTGTAAATGTTAAATGAGTGAATGAATGAATGACACTCAGTTTTACGGCCTGCATGTATTCGGCTGTAGGTGACTGTTCTGGATGAAATCCTTAAAATTGGGATACTGTGTTTATTGGCAGGTTCTTGTGGCCTTTTTCTCATCAGTTACGGGATAACTGCCTGATGTGTTCTGTGGTGGTCAGATGTGCCCTGTTTGATTGCTTGTTGCTAATGAGCAGTGACAAGTGCTGTCGAGTATGACTGCTTTGTTTCAAGGTCATTTCTTTCCCTCGGTTGAACTGAAGTGGGTTTTACATTTTAAGATGTTAGCTTATGAAACCTGGTGACTCATGTTCTGGAGCATTTATCATTGTCTGACCTTTGTAACCCTTGGTTTCCCTTTGGATCAAATGAGATTTGTGCATGATGAGCGCTGGATTGATGCTGAGCATAGCTAATGTGCAATGGGCTAATCGAACAGCGTTCGACTGAGTTTTGACTTTTCTTTCTTTTCTTTCTTTTTTTTTTTTCTTTTGCTTCACAGTTGTAATTTCTAACTCATTTCAGAACCTTCATTATACTTTTCACCTCACAAATCAGATTGCTCTCAAGGAGAGAAATTCATTTTTAAAGTGTATAGATTATCAGTAATGTAAAAATTTTTAGTAGGTTAACCAGTCTTTCCTGTTACAGTTAGTTAAAAGTTCCCTTTCTATTTTCTTTACCTGGCTTTTTAATGATGGAAAACATTTTTGAGGCATAAAGAGTTGGTTTTAGGAATCTGTAAGGTTTGTGTTCTTGGGATGATGATGTTAGGTGGAAAGATTAAGAAGCTTTCGTCCATTTTCTGTTTCTTGCTAGTTTCAAGGTGAGATGAGACACAGCAGTAAGACCTTTCCCTTCCTTCTGTCTGGCCCCAGGCACCCACTGAGTCCTCCTGTGTGAGTGTGGCTGAGGCCTACAGTCCTGCGTTCCCTGATGCAGTGGGGGAACTAGCAGAGCCCCTACGACCCAACTCCAAGTCTCTTCCTTACAGTGCTCTCATGGGCAGGGTCCCCTCAGCAAATAACCCTCTAGGACCCCAGCCAGCTGACATCTGGGTTTGGTCTTGTAAAGGAGACCAACCTATCTCAGAACTTGGAGACAGACCCTAAAAGGGTATTGTTGTAAGCCTCTAACTGTGTGATATTTTGCTGTGGTAGCAATAGAAATCTAACGCAAGTGTTTGTTGTTTTCCAACAACAGGCATATCTGTTCCTCACAGTTCTGAAGGCAAGTGTTTAAAAGTGGTTAGTGGTATGTGTTTTTCTTGGTTTTATCCTCTTTGAAAAATCCAGGGACAAACCTTTTTATTCAACATCCACTTAGTGTTTCCATTTCATGAGAAGCATCCACAGCTTGCTATTCTGTGTCCGGCATGCAGCGTAACATTTGGATCGATTTTACTCCACTTGTATGAACCAGAGTTTCCATGCGAACGATGATTTTCACACTTGAGCCACATCTTTAGTCACTTTGGACCCCCAAACAGTCCATTGATTAGAGCCTCTACTTTGAACATCTTTTTTTTTTTTTTTAATTTTAAAAGTGATGCTCTGGCTGGTATAGCTCAGTGGAGGAAGTGCTGGCCTGCAAACCAAAGGGTTGCTGGTTCAATTCCCAGTCAGTGCACATGCTTGGGTTGCGGGCCAGGTCCCCAGTAGTGGACATGCAAAAGGCAACCACACATTGATGTTTCTTTCTCTCTCTCTCCCCTCCCCTCCCCTCCCCTCCCCTCCCCTTCCCTTCCCTCTAAAAATAAATTTAAAAAATCCTTTTAAAAAAGCAAGTGATTTAGACCTTCAGCAATTGAGAAGTGATGAGGAGCAGAATAATAAACTTTGTGTTATAAGTTTGCTACATTTGTATGTTACTTTTTAAAAAGTTGAAAAACTGAAACAGCTCTGTGAGTGGCAAATAATGAAAATTATATACGTATATGAATAGAGTTTAGTCCTGTACTAAAATCTTGTAATAAAATGATTATAACACACATTTAGTATGAGTAATTGTTATATTAACTAATTAGGAATAAAAGGTAGGAGGTTTGCAAAAATATTACAGTTTCTATTTATAACTACTGCTATTGTTACACATAGCACGGCAAGCATTTCTGCCACCAAGGAAGGGAGAACCAGGCAGGAAGGTTCTCTTGGACTCCTTTTTTGACCCTGATTCCTGACCCAGGAGCGCAAGGGGAGTGGATGTCTTCACAAGGTGAACATGAGTGCTGGGAAAGAAGTGGCTCAGGGTGGGCCAGCTCCCAGCTCCCTGCTGTGAGATTGCCCCTTCATTCAGGAACATAAGACAATGGAAACGGGATAGCTAGGCCCTTGGGATCTCTGCCCTCCCTGGCCCTCTAGGGCGCTGGAATCCCTCCCTGTGTGTGTGCATCCAGAGGGGGGAATGGGATCCCGCCATTCCCGCTCTCTGTGTCTGCCCTGCTTGTCTCTTTTTCTTCCAGTGACTTTATTTCACACGAGTGAGATTTAAAGGAAAGTCTCTCCCCAGGGCCAGAAATTCTCCCATCACTGTCTAAGGTTCTGCTCATTAAAAATTAATTTGAATTCATAAACAAGTACTATAGGCTGGTTAAAGGCACTTATTAAGAGTGACCCTAATACCTTAATAATAGTCATCACTATTACTTAGTCATGCGTTGCATACTGAGTGTGAACCAGGAGCTATTCTGAAGATTTTACATGAATTAATGCATTTAATCCTAACAGCAGCCTGTGAGGAAGGTTCAGAGATGGTCCAGTACCTTGTTCCAAGGTGATGACCACCAAGGGCAGAGCCAGGACAGCGTCCAGCTGGATCGGCTCTGGGACTCGCCCCGCAGCCACCGAGCGGAGCTGCCTCTGCTGGACACTTAGGCAGGGTTTGATTTGATTTGAGTTGCTTTCTTCCTTCCATCCAGCAGCTGCACCTGTAGGAGACAGGACTGGAAGTGAGGAAGGTGAGGACGTGGCAGGGGCAGACGTGACTGTGGGGGCTTGTGATGGGGACTTTGGAAAGAGACTTGGGAGGCATTCTCTATGGCCATTGTTTTGCCCCCCAAGGCAGTAAGGCTCATTCACTAGCATCCTGATGTTACTGATCTACATGTAATTAGGACGAGAATTCGACTAAGAACCCAGCAAGTACTGCTTCGTTTCGCTTCTCTTCTCTTCTCTTCTCTTCTCTTCTCTTCTCTTCTCTTCTCTTCTCTTCTCTTCTCTTCTCTTCTTCTCTCCTCTCCTCTCCTCTCCTCTCCTCTCTGAACATAGACTTCATTTCTTTTTAATGTTTTAGCTACAGGAAGCTCTTCTGTATGTTTGTGTGTGTATATGATAAATTAAATACTTTACTTATTATTTAAATGTCATTTAAAATAACACTTCTCAAATGTACTTGAAGTAAAGGTCAATGAAAAGTGACTAATTTTTATAATTACCCTTTTGTTCCTCACACAGTATTGGCTGGATCCTGCAAAAACCCTTGCTGAACACAAAGAACTGATCAACAGTAGGTATTTAATTTTAGCTTTGTTAAGAGATGCCTTGAAAATGCTGTGATGTCAGTGGTCAGTTGGGTACGGAACTAGGCCTCGGGGGAGAGTACTAGTACTCCAGTGCCAGGACCTGGAAGTGTGCATGTGTATATTGGTGGGTCTCTACACACTCTGATTACATTGGAGTTGATAAAGACCAAATGAATCTTAGTATTGAACTTTGCTTGTTGTTTCCCTGCTCTTGACTTTAGTTTGTGACTTTTCCAGTTGCTTGTCATTAAATTTTCACCTTAAAACAGAAAAGGCAGAGAGGCACTGATGTGGAAAAGGTGGTTGTCATCCAGCCTTTTAAATCTTCTGAGTTTCTTGGGTTAGAGAATAGTTTTGTCACACTGTTCACTTTGCTGAGGCAGTAACTAAGATGTGCCTTGTGACCTGACCGATTTCTATGGCTTCAGTAAGGACCCCCTGACTTTGCTTCTGGTTTTATAAATATGAATCTTACCATTTGACTCAGTAAAATTAAGGTTATATTTATTAACCTTAATTTCCATAACCGGAAATTTTATGTATAAATGTGCATATGTACACATACTCACATACTCACTGTCCTTAAGCATACAGAAGAGTAGTTATTTTTAAAAGGCTCTCTCTTTAAAAATTGTGGTGAAGTACATAACAAAGTATACCATTTTAACCACTTGAGGATACAGTTTGGTGGCATTAATAAGTACATTCACACTGCTGTGCGACCACCACGGTCCATCGCCAAGACTTGTTCATCATCCCCAATTGAAAATCTGCACTCACTAAACCAGTTTGCTTTAATGTGCAAATTATCGCTACTAGACGAAGTGGATTCCTCTGGCCTTCATTACCCCCCCCCACCCCCCGCCCAGTCTGTGCTTCTCCTGTGTGTTGGTTTGCTCCCCGTAGAAAACTTGGTCATCTGGTGCTTCGTGGATCCCAAAGGCAGAAATGTGTACTGAGAATAAAACATTGATATTACAAGTGAAGAAAGGTTATTTAACTGAAGACTACATAATGTTTATATTTATCTCATGAGATAGTTTGATAATTTATGAAGGATAGTCAGAAGGATTATCTGTAAAAATGACAGAACACTTGCTAGTCACCAGGATTCTCATGGGTAAGTCTTGATTTATTATAATCCTTGTGCTAATGGGGGACTTGATTATCATTATAGATCTTGAAATTAGTCTTCAAAAGGTAGATTAGAGGATTCTGTTTCTGGCTTCTGTACTTTTTGCTAAAGTGAAACAGTATTAACTTACTTTACATAAGGATTTCGTAAAGGCAGATGTGAAGAGGCCTGGATTCAAGATCATAATAAGTTGGAATTTGCTTCATCAGGGCTTGATTTTTATAGTCAGTCTTAGACATATCGTGCTCCAAAAGCATCCATTTCCATTGCCTTAGATTGAATTATAAAACAGTGATGTTTATGAAATATTTTGGTTACTCCCTAGTTATAATTTCCTCCCAAGATGCTATATGGAACAGTGGCCAGAAACCACTAGGTTCTAGCAAACTTGGTTCTTAGTTTTGTGATCCCTGTGAACTTAGAACCAAGTTGCCTATCTCCTTGGTGCCCCACCTGCCTTGCTTTTGTTACCAGGTGGATGATGAGAATCAAATATTTTGGAAACATTTTTGCACTTTATCAAATACAAGCAAATGGTAATGATGCCTTATGTTTAGAACACAAGCCATTTTATGTGTAAGTGGAAACAGAGGGCTGACTTGGGCTAAGGTCCTTTAAGAAAATTAGCCCAAACCAAATGTTTTCAGTTGGGCATTTTGCAAACGTCTGCATAACTGCTCATCTCCAAACTTGTTTCAAGTGACTGGGCTTGGTCAGTAGGATGTCATCTGTCATGTTCTGGAGGATAAAAGCAACTCTGGACTCCGAACAAGGCCCTCTTCCTTTCTGCACTGTCTCAACAGCATCTGTGCTCTTCCCATCATCCCCAGATGCCAGCCCCAGTGGCCTGCGGCAGGCCGACCTGTCTGCTGCACAACACAGGGCTTGATTGACAGAGGCAGATCAGCAGAGGGTGGACTTCCTGGCTCTTTTAAATATTTAATAGTCTGTGCCTCCCTGACATCTATATTCAGGGAGAGGGTATATCTGTCAGAAACATAATGATTAAACATAGAAATCAAACATAGAGAGGATCAACTCTCATGATCAAAACATTACAACAAAGTTTCATTTAGAATTTAGTTTTCAAAGAAGCTCTAGCAGCAGGGGTGCCTGTTCAGGAGGGCGTAGAAGAGGAGAGACTTGATTGTCTTCTGTGTGCCAGGGACAGGGCTTTGGGGTTCTGCAAACAGCATGTGTGGGTCATAGTAATTAATAGTAAATAATGACATAATTTGTATGGTACAAAAGCACTATGGGCTTATTGCCTTTTGTTCCATTTAATTCCCTTTCCCCAACTTTTAAATTTTTTGACTTCATTTACTCAGTTAACAATGAAAATAGAAAGACCAGGGTTGCTTCGCATCGATTACACAGCATCAGAGACTGGGGAATCATGTGTAGGTGGAAGTATTACTAAGGTGCATACTTTATATCTTTTTTATTTGTGGGGGAGGCTTTTGTTGAAGAAAAAATTAGAAACTATGATCACCATTTGGTGCACCAGGTAGCAAGTCCTTTTTTAAACAGTTTTAATATAAGACCTAGTTAACACTCTACTCAGAAGTAATGCAGTTTCGCAAACAGTGCAAATTAGATTTATACTCTCTGAAATAGAAATATTTCTAGTAAAAACAGAATAAAATTGTGGTTGGTGCCCAAGAGGCTGTGTCCTCTTTCACAACATGAATGTTAATAATTTTATATTTGCACACATAGGCACATTTCCAGGCTTTGTTTTCATATATACTTGGTATTTGTGCAGGTAGTTCTTATGTGTGTGTACTTCACATAAGTAAAATTTTTTTGAGGACTCTTTGAACTTGTTTGCCCATTTCATGATGGGTAATATATGAGTGCACCTGCCCACAACATGCTGAATGTTCAGCAGTTTTTGACCAAAAATGGCATGACCCCTGTGTCCCACCCTCTCTGTTCATCCAGTCTCACTCCTAGTGACTTTTTCTTGTTTCCCTGGATGAAAAAAAGTCCTCAAAGGGAAATATTTTGCCCACACAGAAGAGGTGAAACAAAAAACAGGAGAAACACTAAAAGGCATTGAAATCAATGAGTTCAAAATCTGTTTTGAGCAGTGGGAAAAAGTCTGGATAGGTCCATTGCATCAAATGGAGAGTACTTTGAAGGTGACTAAACTTTAAACATATAAGAACAAATACACAATTTTTTATAAATAAATTCCACTTTTGGGGGATCCCCCTTTGTATACATAATCATAGATACCTGCATAGTTGAAGTTCTACTTTACAGAATTTTTTTTTAATGTAGTTTATTTTTTAGAGAGAGGGGAAGGGAGGGAGAGAGAGAGGAATAAAAGCATCAATCAGTTGTCCCCAGCTGGGGACCTGGCCCACAACCCAGGCATGTGCCCTGTCTAGGAATGAAACTGGTGACTTTTGGTTTGCAGGTGGGTACCCAACCCACTGAGCAAAACCAGCCAGGGCCAATTTTACAGATTTCTGACCCTTTTTTTTTCTTTTTATATTTCCTTGTGTCTTTAGAAATTCTTGGTTTGTGTGATTTTTAAACAAATTTATTGAGATAGCTATGACATTTCAAAATGGTATATGATGTTGTGATATATGTATACAGTGTGAAAAGAGCAACACAATCAAACTAAATAACTTACCACCTCTACATAGTTACCATAGGGTACTACAGTGCCATAGTTACCATAGCTACATAGGCCATAGTGTATATGGGAGGTGTGTGTGTGAGAGAGAAAATTTAAGTTTAATCCTTTTAGCATATTTCTGATAAACAATACACTGTCATTAACTACCATCACCACGTTGTACATTAGGTTCCTAGAAGTCATTCAGTTGGCATAACTGAAACTTTGTACCCTCGACCAAAATGTTCTCGTTTCTCCCTCCCCTGGCCCCTGGCAACCACCATTTTATTTGGTTGGCCAAAAAGTCCATTTATTTTTTTCCATAAAATAAAAGACACATTTTTATTTTCACCAATAACTTTATTGATTTGGATATTTTGAGTATGTTGGCTATCTCTCACTATTGGTGTCTAGTGGATAGAGGCCAGGGGTGCTGCTAAACATCTTCCAAAGCATAAGACAGCCCCACAGCCCCTTTGGTTTGCAAGCCCGCGCTCAATCAATTGACATGCACCAGCCAGGCTGATAAGTTTTTTTTTAATGCACGCTGGTAGGACAGCTGTCAAAACACAATTGAATGAAATTGTTTCAAAGGACATTAAAGACAACTAAGCACTACTAGAGCCATCGTTTGGAAAAAGTAAATGAAACTTTTGGCCAACCCAATAATTTCTGCATCTATGTGTGTGACTATTTTATTTTATTTTTAAATTATTTAAAAAAATTTATTTTCAATTATAGTTCACATTCCATATTATTTTACATTCTGTGTAACTATTTTAGGTGCCACATATAAATGAGGTCAGGCAGTCTTCATTTTTTTTGTGTCTGGCTTATTTCACCTAGTATAATTCTCCAGGTTCATTTACGTTGCCTCAAATTGGAGGTTTCCTTGTTTTTTATGGCTGAATAATTGCATTGTATATGTGTATGTATGTACCCCATTTTATTTATCTGTTTTTTCATTGATGGACACTTCGATTACTTACATATCTTAGCTGTTGTGACCGGGGCTGCAGTGAACATGGCTGTGCAGATACCGCTTTGAGATTCTGATTTCATCTCTTTTGGATAAATACCCAGTAGTGGGATTGTTGGACCATATGGTAGCTCTATTTTTAATTTTTTGAGGAATTTCCATACTGTTTTCTATAATGGCTACACCAATTTACATTCTCAACAATACTTTCATCTTTTGTTAACTTTTTTATTTTACAATTTTTAATATTTTCAGCAACATTTGCCTTTTTGATAATTGCTATTCTTATAGGTGTGAGGTAGTATCTCATGGTTTTGATTTGTATTTCCCTGGTGATCAGTGATGTTGAGCATCTTTTCATGTATGTGTTGGTCATTTGTATATTTTACTTAGCAAATGCCTATTTAGATCCTTTGTCTGTTTTTAAGTTGAGTGTTTTTTTTTTTTTTTTTGCTATTGAGTTATATGAGTTCCTCATGTATTTTGAATACTAACCCCTTATTTAGTAAATGGCTTATAAATATTTTTGGTGAGTATAATTTTTATTGTTATATAATATTACAGTACTACTTTGATTAATTTATAATGTAAAATTAAATTAAGTTCTATTTCTTGTTTTAGCTGGACCTCCATATACTTTGTATTTTGGTATTAAATTCTATGCTGAAGATCCATGCAAGCTTAAAGAAGAAATAACCAGGTAAGGTATTGATTTTGCTTATGAGCAGTACATGAATGGCATATACAGAAGGCTGTATTTAAAACAAATGGGGTCAACCATTTGGTGTCTCTCTACCTGCATTTTGTAACTCATTGAGTGTGGGAGTTTAATTTAAACCAGCATTGCATGAGGCAGATCAGTGTCTGGTGATAGATGCATTTGAATAACAGCATGAACCCCGGTGACATGATGAGAGATTTTGCATCTGTTGTGATGGGATGTTTCCGTATCTTTACTGTGGAGGATGCATTCAGCCTTTGTAGTCAATAAAAGTAATTGTTTGAACTGCGTAAAGGAAGGTTTGTTGATGCTCAGTATATATATGTAAATATGAATTTGAAGAGCCAGTTATTTTTCTTTAATTGGTTGTAGCTTCAATGTCAGCTGTCAAGGGGTTTCCCTTATCTCTGTAGGAAACGAAAAATTATTTTTAATATTTATGATGTATTACTTCACCTTTGTCATCACATGTTTTATTTCAGTTAAGGCAGAATTTTCGGTTGATATTGATAATCTATTGTTAAAACAGTCCATGCCAACATTTGAAAGTGGCTTGTAGAGACCAGACCATAGTGTTATATTTGCACTTATTCCACCTGGGCCCTGACGGCACAAGGCAGAGAAAACAGAAGTGGTTTTCCAACTGAACTCTAAGTGGTCAGCTTTGCTCGTAAACCCTCAGCAGTGGCTCCAGTAAAGCCTAATTTGTTATTCCCCAAATTCAAAGTCATATTCTTTGTTTTAAACTTTTAAAAAAAAAGATTTTATTTATTTATTTTTAGAGAGAGAAGGGAGGGAGAAAGAGAGAGAGAGAGGAACATCAATGTGCGGTTTCTGGGGGCCGTGGCCTGCAACCCAGGCATGTACCCTCACTGGGAATTGAACCTGCGATGCTTTGGTTCACATCCTGCGCTCAATCCACTGAGCTACGCCAGCCAGGGCCAAAGTCATATTTTTGATAACTAAGGCAGTCTGTGGTTTTGGTCCTATTTCATTTTTTTCATCTTTTCCCTTGGACTGTGTTTTGTCCTGATCCTGGCCTGGGCACAGAAGAGTGAAGAGAGGAGGCTAATTGGATGTTTTCTGTTGTACTCTGAAGTGCTATAATTAGGCCTCTTTTTTAGAACTGTGCTGGTGTCTGTGCACGTTTTCTATCACTACCTCGTTAGCGAGCCTTTGAAAAGCAGGCTACCCATGCAGGCTTCCTGCGAGCACACCTCTGAGGGGAGAAGGGCCATTGTGAAGGGTGTGTTTGTATTACAGTTTCACAAATAGTCTTCCTGGTCAAGAAGGATTTCTGAGTCTTGGGTTCATGGGGAAACTGAGTCCAAATGGTATAAAAACACATTCATATCTGTAACTCGTTACAGAATTGTAAGGAAACAACATTTTATGAAAATACCGGAAATGTCTTTTATTTTGAGGTTGTCAGTAACCTCTTTGTGCCTCAGTTTCCTCAACCGTAAAATTGGAGATGTGCCTGTCTCATAAAGCTTCTGAAAGCATTCAACGGAAGAATGTATGTGAGGCTCTCATACAGGTGACCCCTGAACAACACTGGTTGGAACTGCACAGGTCCACTTGTATGTGGATTTTTCTTTTCTTCTCAGCATAATTTATATGCTTTTATTATTTTTTATTTTTATTGTATTTTTTTCCCATAACCATTTGGTCCTTTTACATCCCTCATCACCTGGGGTTTTTTTGTTTTTTTTTCAATAAATACTTAAGAGTATTTTTCTTCCTTTTGATTTTTGTAATGACATTTTCTTTCCTTTAGCCTATTTTATTGTAAGAATACAGTATAATACATATAACATACAAAATATGTGTTAATTGCTTGTTTAAGTGATTGGTAAGGCTTCCAGTGAACAGTAGGCTATGAGCAATTAAGTTCTGAGGGGTCTGAAGCTATAAACGGATTTTCAACTGCGCAGGGCGTTGGCCCCACTAGCCCCTGCATTGTTCTAGGATCAACTGTAGTTGATGTGTTTGTTAGTGGAGTTTATATCTTAATGAGCGTAAGGTTCCAAAAGATAGATATTTAATGTTAAGAAGGGGAAAAAGAGCAGTGTTTTGTAATGCATCACTTTATATCTGTTCACCAAATATTACCGATGACCAGAAATTTCCTAACAGCTCATTAACAGAATACATGGATTTGTGTTATGTACAACCCCATAAATAATTCAGTCCCACCTATTTTTCCTCAAGTATTAGACCAAATCATATAGTTAAGAAGCAGATGACATAATGGACTTATATCACAGGTAATGACTGTGATCTCTAAGAATTTATTTTTGTTGCTGAAAACATAGAGTTGAATTTAGGTAAATTAAATGTGCTATCACTATGCACTTATTCTGAGTCTGTCCTGAAGATAAACTAAATGATTAGCATGAATACATTAAATTGGTAGACATAATGGACCTTAAGAAAGAAGTCAATTATACAAGATAATTTTGGCAAAAGCAACAGCTGAAATCAAAAAACAGAAATCCTCCAGTATATGCTATTAATGGGAAAGTCTTCTTAGGCCAGCATTTTCAAGTCGAATGTTTATTTATCTTGCTTCAATTCTTTTGAAACATTTTCTGGCCTTCTCCATATTGGATTGTAGGTTGATTATAATTTTTGATTTGAAAAATAATGTGGGGTAAACATTCGTACACCTACTCTTCGTGTTTCGTTGGCGATCATGCTGTCCAGCCTCTTTCACTGGTAACCCCGTCGATCTCACTCCTGCATGGTGTTCCGTGATGCAGCCACTCCCTGCGGTTGTCTCTCCAGCTTGTTTCCTGTTTGTAAATGATAGGTAACGCTGCACTGAATCTTCCCCAGTATGATTATACTGGGTGTAGCAGTCCAGAAGGATGCTGTATATAGGAAAAAAACCCTAAAGGTAAATGGGGTATACAGGAAAATAAGGTTCCAGACCATGAGAAATGGAAGTGAAAGAATTCATATCAACTTAGAGTACTTGTTATGTGCTCTGAAATGTGTTCTGATATAAACCAAGTTGGGTGACATCAAGGTCATATATCCTAACCCCCACCCTTATAGAACATTTCTGACAGTTCAGCCAGCTTTTTGGTAAACATTTTAAAGACAGGAAACCTTACTGCCTCATGGAAATTCAGTAAGAAATAAATACCTGTAACTTCTGTCATCAGTACCAGGCTTTCTTTCTAAATTTGTGCAGAATAAGTCTAATCTCTCTTCTCTTTGTCAGTCCTTTAAATAATTCGTGTCCTCGTGATTCTCTGTTAAACTCATTTTCAATTCTGATTCAAAATATTATGACAGCCTTTCATGTATTCCATGTCATTCACAGCTCCTCATCCCCTGCAGATTTGATCAGCATAAAACAGTACAAGATTAAGAAGGCAGGCGGTAGAGTCAGACAGGCTGAGGTTCACATCCTTGCTTTGCTGCTCCCTGGTTGTGCAATCTTGAGATTTATTTTGCCTTTTTACAGTCTGGTTTCTCATCTGTAGAATGGAATTAAAGTATTCCTTGAAAAAGGTGTTGGAGGAATATAAGACAGTACATGCAAAGTACTTACAATGTAAAAAAGTAAGTGTTCAGTTGATGGTATGGGTTAGCTAAAATGGAAAAAATAATAATTATTTTCCATTTTGAAATTATTGATTACAAAATAAGAGAGGGAAAGACCAATTTGGAATCCTGGGGTAGGTCTTTCAGGTTAAAATCAATGCACCAATCAGAACTTTCTGGGTGTAGTTGTTCATTTATATATGAATTATCCTACTATTGCCTTCTAGCCTGCATTTCTTCAATTTGTATAAAATGACAGAATTCACTCACTTTCCTGCCCTCCATTCATTCAGTAACTACATGGAGCATCGTGTTGCAGTGCACTGAGTACCAAGGAGATTCAGTGATGACCAAAGACAGACAGAGTTTCATTCCCTGGAGAGGGAGAGGATAGAGAGACTGCACATTGCCTTGCTGACAATGCTGTCTGTGATGCCACTGAAATTTTCCTGAGCTTCTAAGGATCTAACAGCTATTTCTATAGAAGAAGATAATGTGTTAGTTCCCAATGGCTTGTTCATAATGAGCACTTTTTAGCTTCTAAAAATAAGCCTTTGTTTTTTTAGTCTGCTTTGTAATATTTTATAGTATTTTCTGGGGATCGATATTAAGCACATCAGTTATTATTATTACTTTGGTAGTCCAATTCTTCACACTGTGGAGATCAGCTTGTGGCAGCTTCCTTGCTAGCTGAGTGACCTTCAGTTCCACTTCCGTTTCCAGAGTGCCTGTCTCTGAGTGAAGATAGTGGCCTCAGTTCGTCAGAGCTGAAGCGAGGGTCATTGTTCAGTATGGAAGCAAAAGAACTTTGTGAGCTTAAATAGACTATACAAATGGAAAGTGATATTTTCGCTATTTGTTCCTGTATTTTAATCATCAGTTTTAAATCCCTGAGACAAAAGCGTTCTTCCACTTTTTTGTCTCTTTCTCTTGAGAATTTGTGGGTGCTTCCTCTACTATTTTTCTTCTTAAGCTGTACATGCCATTTGCTCCACAGTGTTTAATACTATGTTATTATTTAAGCATTTCCCTCTGTCCCTCACATTTAAGTTTGTCCAAATGATGAGGCTCCTGTTGCATGCTGTGTTCCCTCTCTGTGGGACGGAGAGCACAGGCCTGCCTTTTGTGCAGGGAGGTGCTTTCCTTCAGTGTCACGTTTAGCTGGCACCAGAAGTCGGATGTCTACTTGTTCCCACATCTTTCACTTTCCTCACCGGGGTTTCAGGTCACCTTTGGAAGGTGTGCCTTGGGCTGTTGTGATGTGAACATGTGGCTGACTTTCAGGAGAACCTTCTGTTTGGGCTCCTGAAAAAGCAGGATCTTTCTGCCCCTTCTCTCAGCAAATCTCCCTTTCTTGTTCTCCTTGCTTCTGATGCACATCAGCCTATACATCCTTGATATCAGTTCAGCTGCTTTCATTGAACAGTGGGTCCCTGGAAAACTGTGAGGCCAGTATTTCAAGCCCTCCACCTGTGTTGTACAGGTTGTGGTGTTGTGATAAGTGTGGAAAGGAGGGAATATGGTGCACTCCTCCCCAGAGCTCACAGTCTAGTTCGGGAGACAGTGTGTATACACCAGTGTATTTATTAAATTGTGTAAAACGATAACCAGTAGTGGCCTTGTGAAGCTCTGCTTTGCACAAGAATTCATTTTGGAAAACTTCCTTATTAAGCAAATTATTTTCAGTCACTATATTTTTTCTCCAATAGGCAACACTATAACTCCGATCACAATCTAATTTATTGTCCAAACGCTGACACTTTGGAGAATGACTAGGAGAGTTATTAATAATTAGGCGTGTGTAATAGGCACAAAGGAGAATTCTCCTTGGTAAACTGGAATGTAGATTCACTCTAATTAAAGCCAGAGATATCCAGTGATGCAAGCATCTATTCATAGCCTTAATCAGAATGACATAGAGGGAAAGACCCAGCCACTCTAAATATGTAACTTAAATAAATATTTAGTTGTACTCTAAGTCCCATAAAATAGATAAAATAATTTATATACGGTTAATTTAAAAATAGGATCATGATAAAGTGTTTGTTTAGCATGTAATTTATGATTTTAATATATCAAATTTATTTTATATAAAATAATATAATGCTTACTGTCATAAAGATCAATCAAGTTCCTAATTAAAAATAGTTTACTTGTCTTTGATTTCAGTGGATTTTTTTTATGCAGTGATTTTAAGATTTCTGGTATCTTTAAAAGGCAAGCTGTCTACAGAAGTTTAAACAGATGTCCTTTTTTTCCTTTTCCTTTATGACTTTCTCAGAGACAGCGAAGAATGTCCAGTTTTTTTCCATTTTCATCCATCTGTCTCTCTGTTCATTTACATTGCCATCCATTGAGACGGCAGTTCTTCACTGAGTGGCTACTGTGTGCTGAGCCCTGTACAGTGGGAATAGAATGGACAGTGGGTTGTGTCCCTGTCTTTTGTGTCTGTTTGTCTTTCTCTCTGTGTTTCGGCTCTTTTTTTTAACCTCTCTCTGTTTCTCTTTCTCCTTCTCTTTGAAGCAAACTCTTATGGGATTAGGTCCCTCAGTTTCTGTATCTGGCAAGGGATTTGACTGTTCAGTCAGATGTTATAAAAGTCTTAATACAGCAGGACAAATATGCATCTGTGACCCATTTCCTAAAAAAAAAAAAAAAAATGCACTTGAGAAGAAGAAATTCCAAGTTAACAATAGAGAAAGAGAGTGTAGCTAAACCCAAGTTTCCAGCAAGCAGCTGGAGTTCTAGTGAAATGTCTTTTTAGTTTATAAGCTTTTCCATTTCATTTCTGCTGATATCACTTTACTCCTCTTTAAGAGGAGCAAAGATGATTATAACAAAGTGGATTTGTATCCAAGCATTCAGGGAATGGAAAGTAATTAAGTAGGGCTGGAACTGGGAATGCAAGTTAGGAAGTGGTGGTGATGGGTAGTCAGTGGTTATTGCAAAAGATTTGGCTTAAGTAAGCAAAAGTCTTAAAAGCTATCTTGAAGATCTTGAACTTTATCCTGAAGACTTTTAAAGGTTTGTTTTTTGTTTGATTGTTTGTTTTAATCAAGAGAATGACGTGACCCTCTTTACCTCTTGGGAAGGTCATTTGGAAAGGAGATAAGTATGAATGATGCAGAGCAGGGAAGGTTTTAGAAATCCAGCCTAGGTGGTGGCCTCGCCTAGGAGATGAAAAGAAGGGTTTGGATCGAGAGCAGATTGAGAGATAGGGTGTGGGTGCCTAGGGTTTGTTCCCAGGTTTCTTTTACTTGGGTGTCTGGAGGACTGTGGTGCCCCTTACTGAAATAGGCAGTGGGAAAACATGGGCTGTTAAGCAGATTTTCACTTAAGCCTGTGGGCACAATCAAAGTTGATGTCAGTTTTCTAGAAATAATAAGAGTAGCATCTAGCATTTGGAAATCCTTACTAAGGGCTTTGGTTGTGAGCATTTGGAGAAGACGAATTTATCAAAGCTAATTTTTAGAATTCATTTGCTTTGCTTTTTTCTGCCTTTTCCCCAATGGCATCAAGAGTCACCTAGCAAAGAGAGAATAATCACAAAGGACAGCCTGAAGTGTGTGTCAGAGAGAGAGAGAGAGAGAGAGAGAGAATGAATGGGAGAGGGAGAGGAATACAGAGAGACAGATTTGAGAGGTTGACTGGGGCTTGTGTTGATGATTCATGTATCACTTCATGAACCGCTGGCTTCACGTCACTGGCAGAAAGCCTGAATGTGGGGTGGGGGGAGGGTGTCATGGAGGGTGGGAAGCTAGCCAAAGTTGCCCAGCACCCTCACTGAAACAGATTTCCTAGAATCCAGGTCTGACTCTGCGACTTAACTGTTGGAAGATCTTGGAAAAGTTACTTCATTTTTTTGTGTCTATTAGTTTCTTCATCTGGAAAATGGGGTGATAATAGTACTGACTTCATTGTCAAGTTATTGTATGTAAGATACTTGGAATCACTATATTTACAATGTTTAGAACAGTGGGTAGCACCATTATTATAACAGGTTTTCTTTAGGCAAGTGGAATGAGCAAACCTGCAGATGATGGGCAGGGCCTTAATAAGTGGGAGGAATGATGGAATTACACTATAATGACCTTTTGTTCTGTGTCTATGGTTTTAGGCCCTGTAGATACACAGGCCATCTAGCTTGGGTCCTTCTGATTTGTTCCTCCCATGATGAGCATGTCATCATAGTGTTAAGAACTGTGTGTGTGTGTGTGTGTGTGTGTGTGTGTGTGTGTAAAATCAGTCTCATCAGTTTCATGAGGTGTAGATACTTCCTGGTCCACATTTTACAGATGAGGAGACTGGCTGTTCGAGAGGTCAGGCAGCCAACCAAGGCCACAGGCTGTGGAGTGCTGGAGCTGGGATGCAGTCCAGCCAGTCTAACCTGACAGCCTTCACTTTGTAGCCACTACCTTGTCTAGCCTCTGTAGAGTTGTCCTCCAATAGTCTGTTTACTCAACATCTTCCTTGGTACAAAAAAGCAGAAGGTACTTTATTGTCAATAGAGATGATTGACTGTTATCTTGATTCTCAGGCTGTGAAACTTTAGGTCTGGGAGCGTGTAAGGTTATCATTAATCTCTTCTTCCATTTCTTTTGTAGATACCAGTTTTTCTTGCAGGTGAAGCAAGATGTCCTTCAGGGCCGGCTGCCCTGCCCTGTCAACACTGCTGCTCAGCTGGGAGCATATGCCATCCAGTGTAGGTTCTGCTGAAGTAAATTTGCTTCAGATATTTCTATTTTTTTAGTTTTAGATAGAGGGGAAGGGAGGGAGAGAGAGGGACAGAAACACCAATGTGAGAGAGAAACATTGATCGGTTGCCTCTCGCACCCACCGGGACTGGGGACCACACCCACAACCTAGGCATGTGCCCTGGCTGGGAATTGAACTGGCCATCTTTTGCTTTGTGGGATGATGCCCAATGTGGAGGATACCGGCCAGCAGTATCCATCTCAACTGCAGATGCTTGTCAGAACATGCTAAAAACATACACAGAGACAACCAGGTCCTGTGGAGGAATAGGAACAGCAGGGACACTCCTCACATGGGGAGCCTGCCTCATTCCCCCTCTGGAGAGGCTTTTTATTGGTTTCGTTTGAATAAGAATTCAGGTAAAAGCTCATTACTCATTGCTAGGAAGTAAGGATCAAACAATAGATAACAAGGAAGTCTGAGGGCCTATTTTGAGTCAGGGTCAAACAGCTGTAAAACTTTAAAGAACAAACTTACTTCTTCCTTGGACCCTTATCATTCAACTGAGAGCATTCTAAACAAAGCAGGTTTCACAGGATCTTACATATTCTTTCTTAGGCCTGATCACCCGGGGACCCCCGCCCTTTTCAGCACAGAGCTGCACCACCCTGTCATTGTTTCAGGCTTAGGTGGAGCAAGGGAACTAAGGCAACCAAGAGATAAGGAGATTTTCTCCCAGTCCATGAGGACTCAGGCTTTGTCACAGCCGAGGAGCGAGGGTCCATCACCCCCTTTTGCTGTAGCCCCCAAAGTCCTTTCTTGGGGGCCTCCCACGTGATTGTGCCTGTCTTAGGTCATTCCCCCCTTGGGGAATCCTACCCGTCATTGGCTAACCAACCAAGCCTTGGGGTTCAGTTATGAATGAAGCAGCAGAAGCAGCACTTCTGCCAGGGAGATAAGCTTTTGTCTCCTTGCTGGCTTACAGTCCAAGGCCACTCCCTCAGCCTTAGCCTTGGTGGGGTTACAGCTTTTGATACCAGGCAGGGCAGTTTCCAACAGCCCAATCAACTGAGCCACCCTGGTCAGGGCTGCTTCAGATATTTTGGAAAAAATTTTGAATTTTTCTTTTTAAGCAAGTTTATGTGCTAACATTTTTCTTATCAGAATATTTTGCTGAAAGAAATTGAATTTAGTCAGAATTCAAGTTTTAATCAGTGTCACTTCAGAAGACATGAACATAAAGCCAGTTGTACATTCTTTGTAGTGGGTCCCATGCAGTTTTACTGGAGGCAACGCACTGGTTCTTGTTTAAGTGGAGAGTCTAAAAAATCTGTTATGTTCTGCATTCCACCCGAGTCCATCGATCCCTGGGAGCTGTTCTGTCTCAGAGGTCACAGTGCTTCCAGGCAACTGTTGTGAAGGCTCCACGTGAACAGGGGCTATCACCAGTTGCGTGTGGCACCCATGAGGGGCACTTCCAGGTGGCGTTGTTGTTTTGGATACTGAGGCTGAGGCTGAGGCTGAGGCTGGGGGCCATGAGGCAGCCTGCTTCTTGCCTTTGTGGCCTTTGCAGATCAGAAGTAGCCTAGAAAAAATATCCAAAGAATAAGGTCACCCAGATGAACTTCGTTGGGCTTGGAAAGTGGATGCATGTAGGGACGAGAATTTTCTATAAGCGTAATGGAGTGAGCTTTCTGGGCAGCACGGTGTCATATTTCCATGCCCGTTATGCGGGGTGCGTGCTCTGTTTCTTGGTGTCATCTTCTGAGAGGCCACGTTGGGGCCATGACTGTGACTCACCTCCAGTGTTCCCAACACATGTGCTCTGAGTATTGTCTACAGCGCTTGTTTTCATATGAACTGCTAAGAATAATTGAAATGAAAATGATGACAAGTATAGTCTTTCAGAAGCAAAAATACAGAACTTAGGTTTTTAAGGTAAGTCTTGTTTATGCCATTCATATATGCTCATCAGAGTTATTTTTTACCAAAATTATTTACATATGTGAATTTATTAATAAGGCATTTGAACACAATGCCTTATGTTTGTGTAAGTAAGACTGGAATATTTGTGTTCCTCTATTTTGGGGGAATATCTCCCTAAAATGAAAAAATTACCATGTTTTTCTTTTTAGCTGAACTTGGAGATTATGACCCATATAAGCATACTGCAGGGTATGTGTCAGAGTATCGGTTTGTTCCGGATCAGAAGGAAGAACTTGAAGAAGCCATAGAAAGAATTCATAAAACTCTCATGTAAGAATTGCATTTTATTAACTGTAACCAACATGGCGTGCATTAGGGTCCTTAGAATCTCATCTCGGAACTAGAGATTTCTCCTCTTTCACCACCACACCCCCCAGCCTTATAACTATCCCCTTGTAACCACTATTCCAGTTTCTGTTTTTATGGAGTTGGCTTTTTCAGGTTTTACACACACGTGACCCAATGTTTGTTTTTCTCTGGTTTATTTCACTTAGCATAGTGACCTCAAGGTCCATCCTTTCACTTGAAAATAGTAGGTTTTCGAGTGTTCTCACCACAGAACAGAAATGCTAATTGTGACTGGGTGGAGATCTTAGCTGAGCTGTGCCAGGAATCACGTTGCAATATACAAACACATCAAATGAATACACGGTGCACCTTAAACCTACACAGTGGTGTCTGTCAGCTGTATCTCAACAAAGCTGGAAAAAAATAACATCTTATGTTACATCAGCCACCATCCTTTGCTATTGGCAGGCTTAAGAAGTTTCTAGAAGATAAATTCTTCACCTTTGCCTGGAACGTTCTAGCATTCTTTTTTTTTTTTTTTTAAGTCTTACCTGCTTATAACACTAAAAATCTCATAGAAAATCCAAACAATTTATACAGTATAAGAGAGAGAGTCCATTTCAATATCTAAAAGTCAAGGTATCTTTGGTTAACAGCCTTTCAGACCTGTGTGTATGATCTCCCACAGAGAACATGTATAAGGCATAGACTCATGTGTGATTTTCCATGAATGGAATCATTCTGTGCACAGTATTTTGCAGCCTTCTACTTTTTCGTCCACTGGTACCTTGCAAAATTTATTTTTTAACTCTAAGTATATTTTATAACCACAAAAGCCTTAATGTATTTTGGGTTTGCTGTGTCATAAGTATGTAAATTTTTCACAGTTATAGGCAAGTCCTATTTGCCTATAGGCAAAATAGGTCTACAGCAACAAATCTGAGAGTCCTGGGGACACCAGCCTGGAGCCTCGGGAGGCATGATGTCAACACTACACGCCCTTCTGGGCGTGTGTTCGAGCCTCAGCAGGGTTTTTAATCAATGGCTTGCAGCACTGACGTTGTAATTTAATTATAGTTATTGCGGTTAAATCCTCTCTACTGATTAACTTTCCTTTATTGCTTTTTATGTAACATTCCCTCATGAATTTGCTTGGTTTTAGGTCTATTGTAGTCGAGGGGGGGAATGTAGAATTTATCTGGTCAACAAAAATGTTTGCCTAAAGGATCTGGTTCAGTGAGTAGCAGCAGAAGTCAATTGCTGACTTGCCATAAGGGAAGCCAGGCTCTCATCTTGCCTTAGCATGTGCCAGAATGCTCTTCAGGCTGATTACAGAGTCCGCCTTTTTTAAAATTTTGCTGAAGTTGAAGTGTATGCTTAGGAAGTTCCTGTTACAGCATTATGAAGGGCAGTATGTTTGGCATATTCTGAGAATACTAATTCTACTAGGAGTTTCAAAGTACAATTAACAGTATGTATTTTGAAATTATCAAGGGGCTTTGGGTGGAGAGCCTTTTGTGTTGTATGCAGTGGTGTTGACAGTGCAACTGTTATTTCTAAGAGAATAAAGCTTGACTAAAGTTTGGAAGCTTTGTTGTGTCTAATATGCGATGAACAGTCTTCATAGCTTTTAAAAGTATGATTTATTACTGGTCTTTCAGGGTACCATGGCTGGAAGATAAGAGTGCATCAAAGAAGGATTGCTTAATTTTTAAACAAAAAAATCACAGCTCCTTTTGTTAGTCATTAAAAATCTTTTTCTTTCTTACACACACATGCACATACACTTCCACTCATCCATGGAGACAGATTCCTCACAGATGCTCAACCCTCATTAGGAATGAATGCTATTTTCTGTATATTACCACCTTTGAAGATTTTGGGAAGATTTCTGTGCCTTGTATTAAAGACAGTGACAAGTATTTGTACAGTTTCTAAGTGTTGCCTAGTGTATTTTCACACTGCTCTGCTCAGGAGAGGCTGATGTGACCCCAGCTGGGTGGTGGGGAGCCCACTCTCCTCTTCCTCCCCACCAGAGCTCTCACTGCTTCTGCTGGTGGAGAGCTGCAGGGGCGTGGAGACAGTTACTCTTCTTTGTCAGGGTGTGCTTTTTTAACTTGAGTGCTTATATTTTTAATAATCTCTTTGGGGGTTTCTGAAACAGAATTCTTAATATCTGCTAGGACATTGGGATTGACTATACTGAGCAAAAGTAGATGTGGTAAGTGAAATTAACTCCATACAAGTATCACCTCAGAGTATAAAATTTTGCTGTCAAGAAGGTAAGAGTCTTCTTGAAATGCAAAGACTTGCATTTGCATTAGCACAAAGGAGCACTTATTTTTCTGGTGAATGCAGGAAAGATAGTTGGCATTCCCTGAAAGTGCAGCAGAGTAAGGCTCTTTGTTTCTGTGCGGGGTGCAGGGGTCAGACTCCTTGTGACGCAGAGCTGAATTACTTGAGGACTGCGAAATCCCTGGAGATGTATGGCGTTGACCTCCATCCAGTCTATGTGAGTAACATTTAATTAACACAAAAATATTTTAATCTGATGACATTTACTTAAAGTGCCACTGAAACTCCCAAAGGAAAGCTGCAGTCCTGTTGTTCACTGAGCAGATGATGCTTTTTCATCTGTGTTTTTCGAACACAACGAATCTCTTGTGTGGATTAAACCCTAATGAGTTTTGCATAAAGTCTGTGATTATATTTCCATGTGTAGAAAACAATTAACTGAGCTTGAAAACACAATCTGGATAACAGCTCCAAAGGGCTCAGCTAAACGTCAAAACAATTTAAAATTGGTCTGTAATTGATTATATTAGGCAGAAAACAGGAGGGTTTTCTAAAAATAGATTTTGTGCCATTCAGAAAATCACTTGCCAGGTAAAGTGGGCTTTAGGCAACAGTGTAGGTGCAACTCTTTGTGGTTCTTCGTTGCATCCACAGGTTCTGTCAATATTATGGTTATTGCCTATTCCAGTTCTTGCTTCTGCCTTATTAGAAATATTTTTGCAGATCTTCTTCAGTAAATGACAAAAATGTGCTGAATGGAATCATCGAGCAATTATATTGAATCTGTATTGAATGATCTGGATCTAGGTCTTAACCTGTGAGCCAGCTTTCCAAGGTCGCCAGTTGATTACTCTGTGCCAGTGAGATTGAATGTGATTGCCTTTCATTTTATCAGTTTAGTTAGCAATAGTCAAATTTGATTGTTTGAGAACATGAGCCAGGTACCTTTATACAAAATGAATTGCGAAAGATCACATATGGACAGAGTGTTTGTCAGTTGAATGACGGTACTCAATTTTTAAGGAACTCTGATAAAACTTACAATGATATAACTCATTCATGCATTCATTTTGGAATATGTCTTTTGCTGATCAGAGTTTGGAGAGAGATGCATCTCTGGGTACACCATTAATATGGCAATAAAAGTTACATGTTTGGGGGAAGTGTTTGTTCCCTAATACATTGGATTTCAGTCTCATTAGATCACTAAGTGCTCTATGCGGCTGTGCTTTAAGAACACGTCTACAATTTGTGGGATAGTTATCTTTTGTAGCCACATGAATCATGTTAGGTTTAAAGTTTTTTTAAAAATATATATTTTATAGGAAATATATAAAGAGACAGTCTTCTGCAAAATACTTGTGCATTTGTGTAATGTTTACCGCAGGTCAAAAACACTCTTTTATGAGTGGGGGGAATTTATGGTAAACAAACTGGATTCATTAGAATATTCCATACATTCCTTTAAGGTTGAATTTTTAGGGATGAAAGTGGACAACAGTTGGTATTCTTTCATAACTTATGACTTGATTTATGTTCCTTGCGAACATAATTTTGTAATCTCTCATTTGACCTTAGAGTAGAAATAAGATGAGCATAAACAGACAGTTCTGTTTATATCCTTAGTACCCACTCTGTAACTTTTTCATTTCAGAATTCCATTTTCTTTTTCTAAAAAATATGTTTATTGATTTTAGAGAGGAAGAGAGAGAAGAAAAGAAGCATTGGTTGGTTGCCTGCCATATGAGTCCCAACTGGGGAGTGAACCCACAACCTAGCTATGTGCCCTGACTGGGAATTGAACCCTCAGCTTTTTGGTGTGTGGGATGATGCTCCAACCATGTGAGCCACACCAGCCAGGGCAGAATTCCATTTTCTTAGTTGAGATCATTGCTGGAAATTAAGGGCCTTCAGTCCCTACCAGAGGAGATTACATTTTTAAATTTCAAGCAGTGTTAAAGTCACAAACGGAAGAAGAAAGAAGCATGATAGTGATCTAGAAAATCCAAGTGTATGCCTGCAGGGGGCTGCTTGCCCTTTCTGTAGAGGGTAGTGATGACTGAGGTCTCGTGATTGTTCACATCAGAAAGTAAGATCAATGAGTCCTTGGGAGGGAACCTTGATAGAAGCCAGTGGTTCTTAGTCCTTGGTTGCCCAGGAGAATCACCTGGGGTATTTACGTGTGTTTGATACCTGAGCTGCTTCATGACAGATTTGGATTTAACTGGTTTTGGTAGTACCCAGACATCAGCATTTTAAGCTGTGTGGGTGATTCCAGTTAATGTGCAGGCAGGGTTGAAGATCACCATGGAAGCAACATGGGCTGAGTCCATCAGTGGCCTGATTATTAGTCCAACTAGATCTAACATTAATCTGACAAATTATGTTTGAATGGTCAATTACAATTTGACAAAGTGCATTTACATGACTAAATTTATAGTTACAGGCATATGTTTGTTTTTGCAGGGAGAAAACAAATCTGAGTATTTCTTAGGATTAACTCCAGTCGGTGTTGTTGTCTACAAGAATAAAAAGCAAGTGGGGAAGTATTTCTGGTGAGTAACTGTAAACTGTGGGCAGCGTTGGTATTAAAAGCTATATATTCTATGTATTAGGTTTATGGAGTTTGTGTGTCAATAAAACATTGGGAAAAGAAAGCAGGCACATTTCCAGTGTTCGATAAATATGAGTGAAATTGAGCGTAAGATTCCTCCCAGTGCGTAGCAGTATATATTTTTTCTGTCACAGTTGCAGGTACTGGGATTCTGGACTCTTGCCCGTGGAAGATGTGTGTAGTAGGATTTCCTGCCCGTTCTAGTGTGTGCTGGTGGGCTGTGGTCCCAAGGCTACTCCGAGTTTTCGCCATACGTGGCGGGGAGGATCTGAGAGGGGTTCAGGAGTCTCTGGCACTACCGCGTGTCTGGGAAAGCAGCACTGCCAGGGCCTGGCCTTCCAAGTTTGTCTGTGTTTACTGGAGAAGCACAGAATGACAACAGAGTTTTGTTAAGGAAGATGTCGAGGGCAGAGGACACACAGGGAACTTCGCAATTATTGCAACAGTATATAAGGGAGGCAGTATGAACCAATGTTTTTGTACTGGATACTTGTCTGGTATTCTGAAAGGTTAATTCGGAAAAATACCACCACCACCACCACCTGCTTTTTCTTTTTTCTTTTTTTTTTCCCCAGGCCTCGGATTACAAAGGTTCACTTTAAGGAGACACAGTTTGAACTCAGAGTATTGGGAAAAGATGTAAGTTTTTGGTTGGCACTTAGCTTACCTGAGAAGGGGGGATTCTTGTCTACTTATTGATAACTGAAAAGACATTGTAAAGTAAAACTGCTGTGTTTTCTTCACTGCAACCAGGAGCCTGGTTAATTGACTTACATGTGCAACTTCTCAAGAAAGGGAAAGGGAAGTGAGTAGAACATCAATGAGTTGATAAAGAAGAAATGTTACTGTAGTTTTAGCAAAGGGAAATAAATCTAGGGCAGAGAAGAGAAGAGCAGGTGATAGTCATGATTAGTTAGTGTAATTTGCTCTTCTGCACTGTTCGAGCAGGTAGGACTCATATAATCAGAAGGGTGCAGTCTGCACATAGGTTAAAAAGTGTCCTGATTTTGTTCCAAAGTAAATTAAACAATCTTTTTTTTTTAAGATTTTATTTATTTATTTTTAGAGAGGGAAGGGAGGGAGAGAGAGAGAGAGAGAGAAACATCAATGTGCGGTTGCTGGGGGTTATGGCCTGCAACCCAGGAATGTACCCTGGCTGGGAATTGAACCTGGGACACTTTGGTTCCCAGCCCGCGCTCAATCCACTGAGCTACGCCAGCCAGTAAATTAAACAATCTTTAGGGAGTTACACTTCTGCTATTTCCCTAGACAGGCGTAGTAGAAAAACCAGGTGGGAAATTCTGGATGCTATCAATTGAGAATGCAAGATGAGGGTGCAGACATGCTGACCTTCACTCTGCAGCGTGACAGTGTCCTCCAGGACTGTTTGGGGCACGGGCATGGCACTGTCAGAGCCTGGAGGTGCTTTCATGCCTGGACAGGTAGCTTTTAGGAAACTAGGCAAAAGAAAAGCGAGCAAAGATATGAAAGCTTCCTTTTAATCCACCCGTGAAATTAATGCTCCCTGAAGTGCTAGTACTGGAATCCACGTTTATGGGATAAATGAATGAAAATAGGGTGCAGCAGAACCCACCCGTCTTTGTCTTCAATGCTAACTTTATGCAGAACAAAATCCTAAGTGAATGACCTTGAATTGATGAGATATTTCTTGTAAAAAAGAGGTCAATAAAATCTGTGCTTATACATTCGTAAGGTGAGACACAGGAAGAGTGTGGCTGTAACTATAGCTGGAATGTGGTAGCTCACATGCAGCGGGTACTTAATAAATGCCCGCTGAATGATCAATGAACCCATCTACTGAGATTGTGTAACACTGGATTTGAAAGCTTGATACTACTATTTGCTCCACTTCTAGAAAAAAGGCAGTGATCCCTCCCTGAACTGTGTGACATGTTGCCATTTATTGATGAAATTAAAATTGGATTTTTGAAATGAGTTGTAGCTTGTAAGGAGGGAGAAAGTCCAGATTTTTAAAGAAATGATAGTCCAGAAACCTCAGAGTAGTTCTTATCAGTCTAGTTTGAAGGAAGTCTGGTTTTCAACTCTTCATTAGAGGTATCAGTCTTAAATGTGCTAATATAAGATTGAATTAAAATCATCCAAAAAGTAGTATAATTAATTAGATGGTCAGGTGTCCAGTTTTCTCCCATCCTGCCCAGGCTTCGCGTGACTTGATGTAAAGTGTACAGTTTGTTGAATACATTGAAAACAATGTTTCAAGTTTTTAATAGGAATATGATAATAAATTATAAGACTTTTCATGGGAGCATTATTGTTATTCAGAGTAATTTTTTTCCTTATGTCTAAGTTATCTTTGTGAGTGAGGTCCTTTGGTGAACTACTTTTATGTTATCATTATAGTGCCTTGAAATGTCTTCTACCGCCTAGGGATAAATATTTGATAAAGTCACAGCTAATTTAAACTTTTACCTTCTTAGATTTCTTCATAATTAGCTGACAGGAACAAGAAAATTGATACCATCCTGTTATTTTTTACTGGCAGTCAGCATGGTATGACCTGATCTCTTACACACTCAGCTCAGTGCCTATCCCTTCTGCAGCTGGGAGAAGAAGTGGGTGTTTGGGTGGGGCCCAAGGCACCGTGTGCTCCTGGGTCATTGGGTCTGGTGTCAGTGATCCTTAGTAAGGTGGTACAGCAGGTCACATAACTCAGGCTTGAATCAAAGGAACTTTTAAAAAATTAAATAGCACTTTAATTTAACCAGAGCAATTTGTCTGCTGAGCATCCTTGCTTTGAGGGGTCTTCTTTCTCCAGCAGAGTACTTCTCTCTGTGAGGCAGTGATTTACATAATGGTAGAATTAAGTTGATTATTATGGAGGCCTAACTGTAATCATGGATTAAATAGAAAAGTCCCCTGAAACCCATCACCTGGAACAGTAATCACAGTCAGCTTGAAAAATGGTTGAAATGCTTATTCTGCTGGTTTTCTGGTTGGCTGGTTCGGTCAGAGACTGAACTCAACATGTTCCGTAATATTGCGGCCAAATTCAGAGACTCCATTCCCAAAAGAACAGCAATGTCCCCCTGATAAAAGATTTTCCTAGTGTCACGCTGTGCCACTAACACTATCCAGTTCCACTTTTTAATGTTAACTGTGTCCAACATTACACATTAACATATTTTACTACATACTAATAATATATTAACATGTACTATTTACATATTCATATATTTCTTTGCATCTACAAATAAGTCTCTTCTTTCTCAGATATAATCTTAGTGAGCCATTCTTTTTCTTTTTTAATTATATTTTATTAATTATGCTCTTACAGTTGTCCCAATTTTTCCCCCTTCATCCCCCTCCACCCAGCACCTCTAACTCCCTCAGGCAGTCCCCACACCATCGTTCATGTCCATGGGTCATGCGTACAAGTTCTTTGGCTACACCATTTCCTATACTGTACTTTACATCCCCATGGCTATTCTGTGACTATTACTTATTTGTACTGCATAATCCCTTCACCTCTTCATCCGTTCTCCCTCACCATGCTTCCATCTGGTAGCCATCAAAATGCTCCTATATCCATATTATGCCTCTGTTCTTCTCTCTGCTTAGTTGGTTTTTTAGATTCAGTTGTTGATAGGTATGTCTTTATTGCCATTTTGTTGTTCATAGTTTTGATCTTCTTTTTCTTAAGTCCCTTTAACATTTCGTATAATACTGACTTGGTGATGATGAACTCCTTTGTTTTTTCTTGTCTGGGAAGCTCTTTATCTGCCCTTTGATTCTAAATGACAGCCTTTCTGGGTAGAGCAATCTTGGCTGTAGGTCCCTTCTTTTTCATGACTTTGAATATTTCTTGTCAGTCCCTTCTTGCCTGCAAAGTTTCTTTTGAGAAATCAGCTGACGGTCTTTTGGGAACTCCCCTGTAGGTAACTGCTTTTCTCTTGCTGCTTTTAAGATTCTTTATCTTCCACTTTTGGCATTTTAATTATGACATGTCTTGGTGTGGGCCTGTTAGCGTCCATCACGAGAGAGCGACAAATAGTTGTCTTCAGCTAAATACTGTATTTGTAAAAATTTATTCCTCTGATAGATTCAGAAGCTAATTATTAGAAATATTTTAATGTATTATTTAAGCTTCAAAATAGATAGTGTCATTTAAATAATACCTCATAGAAAATTAAAACTTTTAGTAAGAAGATCTTAAATGTTGATTATAGAAAGTCTGGGAATTCTCTATAGAAAAGAAATTTAAAGAGGAAATTAAAATTAACTATTGACTTAAAATTCAGAGGTAATGATTATTATTTCAGTGCAACCCGTTTCAGATTTGCCCATTAGGGATGAATGTATAATGTATACATGTATACATTAAGTACCTTTTCCCCATGTGATTTTGTATGTGGGTTTTATACTTCATAAGCATTTCTTCTTTTATTATATTTATTTGTTATGTGCGTGCACTGTGTGTAATAATGTTTTCTTTGTTTTTATATATTTTGCTTTTTTCTTAATATTGTGGATCATTTTTTTTCTTGTATTATGTCTTACAGCTAGTTTTTGCTGGTAGAAATGAAAACTATGCAATTTTATGTATATTTCAAACTGGCCATTTTGCTGAATTCTTATATTGTAGCCAAGAGTTCTTAATTTGATTCTCATAAATTTGTATAGATGGCATATATTACTTGCAAATGAAAATAAATTATTCCTGCATTTCTGTTATTTATGTTTTGTATTTTATAGTGTTGTTCAGAACTTCTAGAAGAGTGTTAAGTAATCTAGCAACATAAGACATCCTTGATTGGTTTCTGATTTTAATTAAAAACCACTATTGACCGCTTATGTATTAGTTTGTGGTTTTAAAAATATATGTTTATTGCCAGGGGGTTAAATTTTTTAAAAGTCTATCATCAAATGTTTGATTTTCACTGAGTGCTTTGAGGTCAAAGATATTTGCTTGTTCACTCATTAACAACTGCTGCTTATTTCAAAAATCCAGGTGAGATGGTAGTGGCTGAGACCAGGGTAGCAAACTTCAAAGTGCTGAGGAGCTATTGGATTCTGGATTTGGCCATATGGTTTTGTAAATTGGGGAGGTATGAGAGAGAGAGACATACTGGTGACTTAAAGGTGTTTGGCTGGAAAGGCAGGAAGAATGGAGCTGGAGGTAGAGAAGGCTGTAAGTGGAACATTTTTGATGGAGGGGTCGGGCGGAGGTGGAGATTGGAAGTCCCATTTTAACACGTTGAATCTGAGATGACTGCTCCATATCTAAGTGGAGATATACAATAAGTGGTGTGCATGAATCTGGAATTTGGGACTAACTTCTGGGCAGAATATTCAGATTTGAGAATCATTGACATATACTGGTATTAAAAGTCATGAGACTGTGTGAAATCACTAGGAGAATGTATATAGGTAAGAGAAGAAGAAGAACCAGAAAAGGGAGCAGAGAAGGAACACCCAAGGAGATAGAAAGAACACTAATTGTCTTCAACTTTGCTAGGTAAAAATCATGTATTAGGTAAGCATCAAATGATGCTGATGTGTCAAATAAGATAAGCCCTGAGAATTTGCCACTGAATTTGGGAAGTGTAGGAAGTCATTGTGAAGACCAGCTTTGGTGGATTGGAGAGTGAGCTGTAACC